GAAGAGATTACTGAAAAACAGAGTCACTTGTTTCAACTCTGGCGTTACTTGGATACAAAGATCAATTAGAAGAACTAGAATGAAAAGAACTAGCCCATGCTTTTAAGATGTTGTCAGTATTTAATGATGTAACAACAGAAATTTCTGCTGACGCAAACGCGTCATTGTCTAAAACGACCGTTTGGTACAGGATAATGACGAGAGAAGTAAAGCAGTATCTAGAGACTAGTAAAGACGCTCCTGAGACTATTGTAAAGCTTGCAAACAAACTCGTAGACCCAACACCCAAAAACTGTGAGGTTAGAACAAAAAATACGGGGGTGTTGAGTCAAAGCTTGAGGAATAATTCTTTAGTCACACTCCTCGGAGAATTAAAGCCGCTCTCAACGTTCGGCAGTCCCTCCGAGGCCACTAGGATAATTCTTTTCAGGAATTTCTTTTGTACTTTTGTAGTTCTATTTATCGTTAGATTAATAAGTCACATTTAGTTCTTTCAGTGTTCATATTCTCAGCTAAGTGTCCCTTCTGCACTGGCTACCCAAACAACACGCACACCTACTGGCAATGCCTCCATGCACAACCATCCATCCGCACTACACTTTCCAAGCTCCCTCCCGGGCTTCGGCCCACGACATGGAAAGAGTGGCTCTCTCCCACAAATCATCAACACGTGCCCGTCATCTTCGACGCCCTTCTTCACCACATCACAACGATCGAAGAGAAGCTGAAGGCATCGAAAGACGCCACCAATCCTCCATGATCCACCTATCCTCACCCTTCTGAATGGCGTCCTCCTGGACACCACTTCCGACACCCTGAACTGAGGGTCAATAAAGCAAAGACTCAAAAAAGTGCTTTCGTAGACCGCTCTCCGCGGGCTACGGTACTGCGATTATGACAGCGCTGCTAGCGGTCGTAAAAAGCACTATATAAAACATTAAACGCATACTATTACTTCAACCACATATTTGTTTTATCAGAGTGCCTCTTTTCAAACAGAACACATGGGTTAATTTACAATTATGAATGTTAATCTTTTTTCTGGATAAATTCTTCGTGGCACACCTTGCCAGCTTGCGGTAATCGCGCTTTGCTTAAAGCCAGATTCAGCTCGGCCAAGCCAATCCTCTCTTTGTCATCTCGTGCTCTTTTACGTTCGTGGACGCGTTCCGACAATTCCCGAAGATGCAGCGACTTAGCGTTCTTGAGGACCAACTTTTATTGTCCAGTTTAAGTTGGAGGGAAATAGAGGATGTGTATTTGATGTTTTCGGAACCGCCAAAGCGGTGCTATGTTATTTCACTGATGTGCGCCACTGGTATGGCGTAGTTTTGGGAGTTGTACTCTATAAATGGAAAAACACTATTGTTCTTTTTCTTTTTTTTTTTAAGGCACTACAGACTGTTGATCAGCAAAGAATTTTGCCTTCAGTTTTTAGACTTCATTTATTTGGCTCCAGAGAGCCGCGGCACCGCGGAGAGGCACCAGCTTGTACCATGGAGGCCCGCGGTGCTGCGTCTAGTGAACATGATAATGTCATGAGTATATACATGCATAATGGCGACGACATGAATTGTTGGTATTGGGGAGGATGGCAGTCCGATTTACAGAAGTCCAGATTTCGTGGAGGCAGGTTGGGCGGGTGAGAAGCGAGCTGGGGGATCTGGCACGCATTTCTATTGGTGCATGAAGGAGCCTCCGGAACATTATGGCGCTGTTGCTCACTGGGGTCCACTGCGGTCGGAGCATCAGACTCCAAGGAGGTAGCCCAGTCAAAGTAGAAGCTACCGCCTCCGAGGCACCAGGGCTCAGAATGAGGCACCGCCGTCGTACGGTGTGTCATCCTCTCAACGTCGTCGTCGTGTTCTTTATTTATATGCGTATATATGTATAAATAAAATAATATAGATAAAAAGAAACAATCAAACGGCCAGCGTATAGATCTGCTATTTCGTAAGGCGCCTCCGCAACCACGTTTGCAACTCCGAAAGGTCAGCGCTAGATTGGCACATGCGCAGTAGTTGTGGAGGCATAGCGGGTAACGTAGTGGAGGCGTAGCGGAGACGCCAGAACAATCCACGAAAACTCCCTAATGAGACCGGTTCATTTAAATCGACTTGACGCAGAGAGTCAAGTGACTAGGCCACGGGGCCACGTGACTAGACATTACTTGACAGCAAGTCTTGAGCACCATGATGTCGCGTGACCACGATACACATGATTTATCATAGTGCCAATACAAAAGCACCGCGAAAAACCACGATTTTCTAAACATTGCAATTCGGTATATGACAATTTGATCACTACATAGAAATAAAGCAGCCAATTTTTATTTCTCAAACATGCATTTAAAAAAAATGAAAAAGAGTACCGTGAACTGTTTTAAACCGGTTACCGTTATATTTTTTTAAGGTTCAGTTCTGGTTCAGTTCCAAGATTGCGGCGAAGATTTTGGTTCGATTCAGTTCCGGTTCGGCTAAAAGTAACGGTTTAGTTCCGGTTTTCGGTTCGGTTCCGGTTCAACACTGGGTTATACCAGGGGACACCGTCCCTCTCCTGTGAGGGTGAAGGTTTGCTTTCTATGTGCAAAGCCTCTCCAGGAGATCTTATGTTGCAACAGACTACACACAAATGTAAGCGTAGTGTCTCAGTCTGGTGCTTCATGCTTGTAACTACATGTGCTGCACATGAAAGCGGCTTTCACAGGCTCGCAACTGCATGAGCTCACTTCGAAAAGAGTTGGCGGCGGCCAGATGCCCTGCTTGCAATATCGTGTTGGAGGTTGCCATATTTGGTTACTGTAATAGATCAAGCATCTGCCCATTTTACAAGAGCCCTCCCCTCACTTCTGTAACATTTGGAAAATACACAAATGACAGATCCTCAGATATTGTGGACCAAGTAAGTGCCCATTCCCAAGTTTCATGTGATTATCTCCATATTTTGAGTGAACACTTGTTCAGCATTTTACCTAATCAAGTAACAAAACTTAAATTACACATGTACAAAGCAGATTAAAAAAAGTAGGGACATTCCTATGCACAGTGTCAGTTTCCGTTGAATGCGGAATAGTCTAAGCAACATAAAACCATGCAAGAGTTATAAAATTGCAGAGATGCATAGTGCCTTGGATGCTTGCTGTGCTCGTGACACTGTTAGAAACTTCAATAGCCCAAATTGCGTCTTTCAAGCATTCGGAAAAATATCGGAGTAAAAAAGTGCTAGTTGCAGGCACAAGTCTCAGCAGCTGGACTGCCCGCATCCTGCGAGGCAGGAAGGATCTTGAGGGACTGCACTGCCGAAATAAACGTCCCTGGAGGGGTGGCAGCTTCCCTGGTCATGGAGGAACCACTACAGTTGAATCCTTTCGACTCTGCCTACCCCCACTGCAGCAGCGAGGTGCCACGCAACTGCATATCTCCTACTCCCAGCAGCGTGCCAGAGTCCGATGCAACATACTCTCCATCCCGCTATGTCGAAGGTTTCAAGAGGTGAGCTATGCGTATGTACGCCTAGAATTTGTGAAAAGCACTTGACATAAGCCCATTCCAGTGACGGGCAAACTGCGTCAAGTCCACTAGCAGCAGAAAAAGAATGCCAGTTCCTGGTCTTTGAGAGCTGCCAGAGAGAACTCTTCAGGACATGCCAGGAGTGCTCAAGACCCTGCCAAAATGACATCACGAGCCAGGGTACGCTCACCAGTGATCAGCCTCTGCCCTCTTGAGCACGTGTGGAAGTGGAGTACCCAGCCCATCATCAATGGAAGAGGTGCAGGAAACCTTCCGCTCACAAGCCACCTGCTCTTCTCTGGAGCCAAAGTGACAAACACATATCGGATGCTGTGCCAGATAACGTCGAGGTGATGAGCGATCAGATGTACAACATGTATAGAACGCCCTCCTTTTCCCTGCAGTGGCAAAGGTGAGGAACATTCTAAAGGAACAATGTTACAGCATTTTTATACTCAAAATCAAGCTTATTCCCAGGTGTAGCACCCTTCCTCTGAAACATTCATTACATTTTTAGTGCCGAAAAGTGAGCAGAGGGTTGTGCTTATACACCATCGCATGAGAGATCCAGAAAGCACATGCCTGTGTCGTCCGTTTGCTGCACCAATGGGGAAATGCTGCCACAAGCACCACTGTCAGGGAACTTGGTCGACGGCTTTTGTACTAAATGTAAAGAATGTTTGCCTTATTTTTCACAGGAAGAGAGCTATGTCTTGAAATTTCTTTAATTCTGAACCCACCCTCGACGGCATAGTGCTCCTTCTTTACACCTTTTTTTCACCTTTTCCTTTATATAAGCAAACTCTCGGTGTCAATAAATGTTGTTGCTAGTTGGAAGTTTGTGGTTGTACATTCTCCTCGTCTTCTACCTCGAGTTTAATTATCGTTACCAACCCGCTCATTCTGTTCTTCAATTGGAATGTTTCTTCATTAGCTAAATGTCCCATTTCAAGTCTTCTAGTGGTGCCCATGATCCCCAAATATAGCCCCAGGGTTGAAAAAACCCTAACATTAGTTATTGTTTTTATTTAGTGCAATGAAAAAGAAAAAAAATTATGTATGTCACATGCTATGGGCTAGTGAACTAATTAATTTTATTTTTCCTATGCATTCTCGAAAATACTACATTATGGCAGCACATTTTTAGAATTTCTACAGAAACATTCATTTTCATGAATAGATATGGCTGCAAGAGCAACAAGAGCTGATCAGTCAGCTGGACAATCGAGAAGTTGACATCACGGCCAATGGACAGTTCGATTCTCCTGGGTTTTCTGCAAAGTACCTCACATACTCGGCTCACGTCCAGCATATCAACAAGATTCTTTACATTGTGCAGGCCCAGCTAGGACAGGTGATTTTTCATGTAGTAAAACAATCACAAGTTTCATGATTCTATATGTACGCTTTTATAATTAGGTATAATTTGCTGATTGCACTGTCATGCACAAGTGATTTGAGTCACACTTCTGTTCTTAGTCAGAGTGAGCAATGGCAAGTGTCAACATGGAAAAGGAAGGCCTTATCAAGCAGCTGGAATTTTTCAAGGAGAAATGTATGCTGATATTCTGTTCGACATTCATAGTGCTTCCATACTGTTCAAAATTGTGTACTCAATTATTATTCTGCACAACGAAATTCTATGGCACAGGTATCCACATCTGATCCTTGGGGACTGACCGCCACCCTGCCATACGAAAGCACATAGAAACACAGAAGCCCAAAATTTCCGACTATTTCGAAATTTTGGCACATCTCCAAAAGTAAGCAACTGTCAAAGCCTATTTATGTAGGTGACATTTTCTAGTGAAGCTGCTGCAGGATTCCATGAAGTTGCTTTGTAATTTTTAGGGGTGAACAAAAAGATGGCGGCAGCAAGCAAACGAGCCGGCTGCCAAGAACTTCAAATATGGGTGCAGGCAACCACCAACCACCTCTACTATTCGGCCAAGGCTGGGGCGGGCAACAGGAAACTGACTGCCGACGTGTGGCTCAGTCTCCAGAACCATGCCATCAACAAACACGCGGGCCATGGCGGCAGCTATCCTAGGTGTCTGCACAATGAGATACCAGAGAGAGCAAGAAAGTGAGTGGATCCCAGAAGTTTTTTGTTCTCCAAACTGAGGGTGCTCATTCTAAACCATGTCCTATCTGCACTCCCAGGCTCATGACTACCTAAAAAAAATCCCCGTGGACAAGCGGCTCCTGAAGGACGTCGGCCAGATGTCTCCCCATGGCCAGACGTACGTCCTTGAGGCGTTCCAGAGTGTCCTCATCAATGTCGCCTCAAAGTCCCAGGCATTCCCTCCGGCTGGCATGCTCGAAAGGTAATATCAATATTTGTTTAACGGCTTAGCGATATGGTCCATTTTTTAAGCATTACTGTGCAGTTCATTGATTAATGCTAAAAACTTTAAATACAATGTCTGGTAATCAAGTGCAGTGACGTCCCGTTATTATGCACGAAATCTGTACCCCCAAAAGGCGTTCATGATGAGAGTTCGCCATAATAATGACATGTATGTGCATGCAATTGCCTAATTCGTCCCCGAAAATTCCGTCTATATAGTAGGGTATCCAATCAGGGTTCTCCCTACGGTGGGTAGCAGTGGTTAAGCCGCCCGAATGACCGTCTTTCCGGAAAGTCCTCCTCAACAAACCGAGCGACCGATACATCCAAGCTGTTGCAACTGAGGCTTGACACCCAGAACTTGGAGCATCCAGAAGAGAGAATTGGCAAAAACTCGTGGAGCAACCATTGTCTCTTAACGTCCCAAAGGGACTGAGTGGTAAGATTCTCTTAGGAAATGAGATCCGAAGAAACCTTAATTAGATTGTGGACATTTTTGGCATTTTTGGACACACTTGAACCTTTGTTTCCATGATTCATCAGCGGATTTAAGTCTGCAAGCTTCCTAGGGCTGACCAAATCAGTCGGTATGCGAGACTCGGCAAGCATGGGGGGGGCGTCATGCGATCCCCGGATGTGTGTTATTTCTTTCGCTCATAAGAACTCCAAATTGTATATTTCCTATCAAATCACTGCTAAGCCAAGTCAAACTTATTTGTCACCCTCAAGAAGAAAGTTGCCAACAAGTGCATCAAGCTCCCTGACCAACAAAAGCGTCAACAGATACTACGCCGTTTGTAAAACTACAGACTGGAATCGACAGCGTAGATACAAATTCCGCACCGACAGCTACTTGAAGCCCAGCTCTATCGAAACAGAGATGTTTCTTTGTGGGCAAGTTTGATGATTGCGTATTTCGCTGGAGTTCGTAAAGTGATATCTATTTTGGTTCAATGCAGAATGGATACCTTCGTGGTAGTGCACGGGAGTTGCTTCCACAGTTAGAAAAAAACTGGCAAGCCATACTGCACGACGGCAACATTTGAGGCGGACGGCTTTGCTGAGGTGAGCAGCTCCGAGTGTGCTGCCAAAGAGAGACTCTGCAACCATGCCTTGGCATTGCTGCTACCAGTTGCCCTCCTCAAGGGCCAGGGCTACAAGGAAGCTCCCCCCGAGGTTAGCTGCACGGAACTCCCTTAACAATGCGGCATCCCTGTGGCCCCCAAATTGCTGCCACCAGCGTCGACGATGTCGACTGAAGGAGTGTGCGAGAAGGCGGGTCTTCCAAACTCGTCGACTTCAGACTTTACGATGCGAGGAAGCATCCGAGGGCCCTCGGAGAGATGGAAGAGGCAATCCAAGACCTGAGAAGGGGCCTCAGTATACTGGGGGCTCTCCCTTCGCCAAGCACCCGAGATGTGTGCAGGTGTTAGGCACAAACTCAAGTTTAGGTCCAGTCCCCGAGGCCAGCCCACCGTCCTACCAGCAGCCCATGGCACTGCATGAATTCCAGACGTATGTCAGCCCAAACATCGCCCTGTGTGCCAGGGGCATCTTGATAGCCCAGCGGCCCACCTGGCCTGTGCTCTTCAACTCGGTAAGCACCTGCAAGCCTGCCACAAGAGGCCTGCCAATGCTGAACAGAACCTTCTTGAGGTATGATCAACATGACCCAACCATATTTTGCATGAGTATGTAATACCATGTATTTCTTGGGCTTTAGCAGAGACATGCTCTAGCCTGAATTTTATGGCTGGCCCAATATGGTCTGACAAACCTAGCCTGGGCCTGCCTCTTCTTTTGAACATAAGCCCAAGCTCGACTTGTTTCTCCTAGTTCTACCTTCATTTTACATGACAGATTCACGCTGAGAAATTTTTGAGTCTCGGAATTCATACTTGCGTTTACAAAATGTCAAGAAAGTTGTTTCATCTGCTCTCAAAAACCTTATTTTCAGAATGATGCAGTGTGTTAAAAGGAAAAGAAAAAGCAAATTAGATGTTATATGTCTGGACAGCACGACCTTGGATGACAAGATTTACATAAATAAGACGAGAAATGTGTGCACTGTGGTGCAACTGCTAGCCTGGGGTTTTTAATGTGCATCAATGTACTCGTAGTAGCGATATTCATCCGGAAGTTAGAACAGTGCTCATTTAGATTTAATCGGACTAGGGTGGAGATAGGACACAGGAACTGAGCAGAACCGGAAGGACGATTGCAGTGGTGAAACTGACAAATGGTGATTTGGAGCAGCTCTTGTAGCGGGGAACAACGGGTTTTGGAGCAAACGATTTTGAGCTTTCGTGTCAAAAAGTGTTATACAGTCTCTTTAAAAGTTAGTATGTGGAAAAAACTTCAGTTGTTGAAATGTTGGGAGACTATTTAAGGTATCATACCTTCACGGGACCTGGCCACTACAGTATCTTACGCCGGTAATTTTACAATGTCAATTAACTTATTAGGAGTACCGATACCGTCTTTGTATTGTGTTTGATGTAAAAGATGTTTTTGGATACTTTGTAGGGATTGTACCACAGTGAGGTAATTGTCACGGGTTCGACATAAAACGGACACTTTTGTGTTGAATGAGTTTCACGCTGCCCTCGCTCGTACTCAACCTACTACTGTTCTTGGAGCAGTTAAGTGGAGCACATAGCTACACTAACTGATCACAAAGAGTAGCACTACCCTTTCATGTGATCGATGTGAGCACCGTTCGCACAGAAACTGATAACTCTTCGTTAGGCATGTGAAAATAATAGATGAAACGCTTTTCCAACTTTTTCCTCTTTTGGCTTTCCTCCTCAACTCATAAATCGCGCATTCCACTAAACAGTTCAAGAAGACGAAAAGAAGGGAGGCCCCCCTTGCTCGGAATCTGGATTATGTACCCGGACAGAGCCATTGTCCCCCCAGAAGATTAGCCCGTCGCTCAAAATTCAAACAAAAGTTGCTTTCCCCAACCCGTTCACCCCGAAGCTGACAGTGCTGTGGAAGCTACGTGCTCGTTGGGCCAGCCACAATTGCCGTGTGAGCGTGGCAAATATGGCTGCAGAGAATGAGGTTAGGTGATGAAAGGGAGGTGGCTGATTGGTCCGGCAAGCGCGTAGCTTCCACCACAATGTCAGCTTAGGGGCGAAGGGAATAAGTGAGCTCCGGTTTCTTGTGACGTCAGTTTGGACCCGATGACGCGCTTTTGGAACCGCGGATGTATCACAGTGAAAAGGCAGAGAGCTTACGAAGGGGAGGAGGTACGAAATAGTCCGCTGTGTTTTCAAATTTTCGCACTGAAAGCCAGGCTTTTGACTTCCTACTTTTTTTCTTTTGGCCCACTGAACGATGTGCTATTAGTAAAATCCCAATCTAAAATGATTTATCCCAACCCAAAAATCGTTTCATTTGCCCTTTAAAATGAATACCGTAAAATCCCGATACAGCCCACCTAAAATCGAAAGAAACTTGGGTGAAAACAAAGAGTGGGCTAACTTTAGGGGTGCAATCAAGAAAAGTTGTAAAAATGTTATTTTTAGATCATGTGAATTGGTCTAACTTGTTATCGCGGTACAAAGCAAAGATGACTGTACTTCCCTATCAGCAATGCTCGCTTATATCCCACCCTAGCTGACTAGACGGATTTATGCCAAGGCCATCATTGATCCGAACACTGCAATTACTAGGAGTAGGCTATATTTCGGTGGTTAAAATAAAATAGCAAATCAAGTCAAAAATAGGTGTGGGTTACCTTTCGGATGTGGGGCATCTCTTGGGATTTTACGGCAGTGGTTTTGGCTGAATATTTTTTGATTGAGTATTGAATAGTTGTGGCACCTTTCTCCATGCCTTTCACTATTGTTAGACCATGCTTGAACAAAAATTCAGCTGACACTCACAAAGGTTGTTCCAAGCTTCTAATTGCCCACTTATGAGCTCCGTTAAATTGAATCTAGCTATATTTATAAACTGTGGACTCAAACAGCCCAAATGAGAGATCTGACATAAAATTGAACCTATATTAGAGCCCTGGCATACCTAACTGACAGGATTTATAAATCTTCTTGCTATTAGAAAATATTTCCTTTAATTCTGAATTAAAAATAAAACAAATGCAAGTAATGAAAACAGGTTGTTAAAACATTGCCGCCTACCATACACCCTGCATAAAAGTCAGAACAATTTTGCAGATTTCACTGCAATATAAATATCACCAATCACGTTTTCTTTTTTTATTAAACCAGGCGTGCATGTGCGTTATACCACTTTGAAGGTGTTCTTTTCTGCCTAAGTGCGCGGCTGCGCTGCGGCGAAGCGAGTCGCGAGATTGCGGTGTCAGCTCCGCAGGTATTGCTCCTCCGCAACACATCAGTGCTTCAGGAGAAGCACACTCAAGGAAGCTAACCCGCCGCGACCAACACTTCAAAAAGTATGAATATCGCAGTAAATTTTGAAGCGAATATCAAATAGCATATAATTTGAAACTAGTATTTGATAATTCGAATATTCACGCAGCCCTACTCTTCACACATAGTACTTAGGCACCCGGAAAAAAAAACAAAAAAAAAACTTTTTTTATTTTCAGTGCCATCATCGCCAAGAATGCCATGTGCCAGACACTCAGTTTTCTTTTTGAGAACAGCTTCCTTTCGGTGCAGACATGGCGCAAATTGCGCACAAATACAACCTTTTGAGCAGCATGTAGCAGGGTTTTCGTCCTGGCAGAGTTTGGCACAAATGGAAGCCAAAACACACTAATTCATCTCAAGGTGCATGTGAAGGGTGTCCGTAACCTCATTAGGCTTAGCGACAGCGTGATGACTGTTCTTGCACAGTATGGAGAACGCTTCAAAGGTTTCGCCACAGCAGACGCCATTCTAGGCCTGAAAGCTCCATTCCGATCAATCTCAAGATTCCTTGCAGGAAATGTAGATGTTAGGCTTGGGGCGTGTGAGCAGCACGAAGAAAAAGTGGAAAAGCTCTTCCT